ATTTTTGTTTTCAAGAAATTCGAGTGGAAAATAAGAAATAGAAAAAAATTGGAAAATAATATTAGAACAAAAAATGAAAAAAAAAAATTAGAAAAAAATTAGAAAAAATAGAAATGAATAGAAAAGAAGTAAAAATAGACAAAATTAGATTTTAATTAAATTAAAATAAATTATTTATTATATGTAAATTTATAATAAATTTTTATATAATAAATAATAAAAGATAATTGAAATAAAATTTTTTTCATTATTTTATGTATTTATGAAAAGATAATTGAAGTAAAAATATTTTTATTATTTTTCGTATTTTTTTGTCTGTTTTTTTTCAATAATTTTTTTTTTTTAGTTGTCAAGAAATTATAGGATTAGATGTGTGATTAGTTTGGGATAAAATGAAAGTTGCGAGGTTTATTAATTAATATGAAGGAAAATGAATAAAAATTAGTTCTTCAATGATATAATACCATATATATTGATAGTGTTACCAAGTTATAACCCTGTAACAACACATAAATATCTGAAAATGACCAGTGATAAATAATGCAACAAGTGTTCCTATGTTGAGCAATAGTGCGCGCAAAACTAAAGTCGATGGCTCATCATGAGTGTTGAATACTCATTTAGAAATAACAATTTATTGACAAAAGAATTTGAATTTGATTTTTAATTTTTTTCCAATAAATTTGAAATTTTATTTTTTTCCCATTTTTATGAAAATATTTTTTCTACATCATTTTCTTCTTTTTGGTAGAAATTGAGTAAAAAGGAATTCAAGTAGAAGAATATTTTTTTCTGTATTTGAGAACATTATTCTTTTATTATGCCAAAATAACATTGTATATTTGTATTCATTAAAAGTATTCTAAACTCTTTTGCATAACTATGCGGTATATGTAAATAAATAAATAATTGAAAATCAGAAAAAACAAAGTCATACACTGAAAAAAATTTTATTTGATTCAAATATATACTTGTCTATTGTTCATTAAATAAATAAAATAAATATTTACTTGGGTCAAATAATTTTTGAGTCAATTAAATTGTATTTGATTAAAATACTGAAATTATTGATTAAAATACAATTTATTTGATTTTAATAAAAATTATTTGAGATAAAAAAATATTTATTTGATAATAGATAAGTAATCGATTATTTGAATTAAAGAAATTTTTTTTCATTATATAGAAAATGTAGTAAAAGTTAAATAATTATTCAAGTATAAAGATTATTTCCTTCTTGCTTCTGTGTAATTTTTTCCAATATTTTATACTAAATAAAATTCAATAGATATTTTCTATAATAAAAATTACACTTTTTTGGGAATATTGTAGAAAAAGCAATGGGAACAAAAAAATAATTTAAAAATTATTATTAAAAAATTGAAAAAAATTTGATTATTTTCGATCTAAATTTTTTAATAATTCTTCTGTCTGAATCTTTAGTTAAAAATTCAAATTTTATTGAATCGTTAAGATTAAGTAATAGTAAGAGAAAAAAAATTGTCTTTTAATAGGTATGCGTTTCTTTTCGATATTCATAAATGAATGAATCTAATAAATATTTTACACTTTGTATTTACCTTGAAGTAATTAAAACTTAATTTACAATAACTCGTATTACGTGCAAGCGTTTTTTTTTTGTTTCTAAATTTGAAATCGATAAAACTTATCAACAATTATGAAAAATGTGTATCTCTTGTACAATTGAAACTAAAAAAATTGACAGTAATGAGAAAATGTTAATTTAATCGATTAATTTTAAAAAACGGTGAATTATTTTTTACTCCAGTGTTTTTCTATTGAAATTTCGAGAATTCGAACTTAAATGACGATAGAAAGTAAAAAAAAATTAAAATTAACTTTTTTAATTGTGTATTACGCGAATGGAAAATTTGATTATTAGAATTTTTTCTGTTCTCTATAATTTGTAAATAATTGGGTATTTAATGAATGAATATCGACATAGAAACTTAAAAAGTAATTTATAATTTCACTTTTTTATTAAGTGAGGAAAAGTAATTTTTTTTTTTTTTTGATTGATAAACAAATGTAAAAATGATGATTAATACTTTGTGCTTTTCCAAGATGTTAGTAGAAGAAAAATATTGTTTGAAGTGGGGTAATTCCCTTGTCTTATTGTAATTATTATTTTTAAAAAAGTAATTTAAAATTTTAAATCTTATTTAAATGGCAAAAAGTTTCTCAAAAAATTATTCTCTCTCTTTCTTTAAATTTTTTTGTAATTTATATTATATAAAGAAGTAATTGAATTGTTAATTTTACGTATTAGACTTCTTTTTTTACAACTTTAATATTTTCTATTTTTAAAAACCATTTTATTTTTTCAACCTGTTTTTTACAACTGTTTCTTCAATATTACATGAGTTCAGGAACAAAACAAAATTCCCATTTTTTTCTAATTAATAATTAATAATCAATAATCTAATTAATAATTTTTTTCTAATTTCATAAAACTCAATTATTTATTAATTATTAATTAATTTATTAACTCAAATTTTCTAATTTCAAAAAATTTTAGTTTTTTAATTTTATAAAATTTTTAATTTACAAAATTGAAAAAAATACTTTTCTAAAGCTACTTTGCGTGAACTGGTGAAATAATTGTTTACAAAAAATTATTTATGACATACGCAGTTTAAATTATTATCTTTGTTAAATATAAATTTTATCGTTAGATAGGTAAATAAATAATTAGAATAATAATAAACAGTTTTAGTTGTTATTTTAGAAAAAAACAAACTTACTTCAAGGAAATATTTATAATTGACCATAATTGTTTATACCTGTTAATAATTGGGTGCTTTATTTTTAATTATATTGAAAAAAATATTTAAACTTTTCCTAATCACTGTGCGTGTCCTCGTTGAATGATAAGATAAAAAGAACCACGTGAATTAAACATATATAGTTAAAAAGTAATAGACAATGGGAAAGGAAAAATTGAAAATACAAAAGAAAACGTTTTAAATTAAAATTTTCTTTCTTTTTAAAGAAAAAGAATAGAAAAGAAATTCAAAAGATGTTTCAAAATATTTTGTTTAATTTAATTTCAAATTTATAAATAAATAAAATAAATTATGTTCCTAAATTTAGAGATTAAATTTTTAAATTATATTTAGAAAATTATTTGTGTTTTTATAATTGAAATTTAATTAAGGAAATTTTTTTTCAAAATAAAATTTTCTTTCTTTTTTAAAGAAAAGACAGAGGACAATTTTAATTCAAATTCATTTAAAATTTATAAATAAATAAAATAAACTGTTTCAAAATTTTTACAATTTTTTGAATTATGTGTTTAGAAATGTTTTTTCTTATTTAATTAAATTAAAAATTACAAAAATAAATACATTAGAAAATTAATGTCAAAAATTAATTAATAAATGTGTAAAAATAAAGCAAAAAAAAAAAAACAATGTTTCTTATATCATAGTGAATTCCCCAAATTTCAAAATTAAAAATGACTAATATTTATTCTACTATTCAATTTGGTCTCTCTTCTACGCGTCTCAGGTGGAAATTAATTTATGAATCTGTTCCCAAATTTAAATTTTATTATTCTGCAATTCAAAATAATAAAATAAAAATATGTATTGTGAAATACCTTTTTATTTAAAATAGTAAAGTAATGAATCATTTTTTCTTATTGAAAATAATATTTAGTAATAATTATTATTAATTATTAATAATTATTTATATAACAGGGGAACAGAAATAATTGATAATTATTATAATTAGTCATTATATTGATAATAATTATATTATTTTATAATTGTTATATTACAATTAATCATTCTAATAATTATCAATTCTTTGTGTTATTATTATTATTATTATTATTATTATTATTATTATTATTATTATTATTATTATTATTATTATTATTATTATTATTATTATTTTTCTTATTAGTTTGATCATAATTATTCTTACTATTAAGAATTATTATATTACTATTCTAATTATTCTTATTATAATTTTGATTAAAAACAATTAAAGAAATTAAAATAATTTTCTTGATTGCAGATTAATTGATTCAATTATTTTATTTATCTAGAAATTAAAAATATTAAAAACTAAAAATTGTTTTACTTTTATTGAATCAATAGAATAAAATTAATAGGTTTACTTTTATAATAAATTATAAATTATAAATTATAAATTATTATAAATTATAAATTATAAATTATAAATTATAAATTATTATAAATTATAAATTATAAATTATAAATTATAAATTATCATTAAGAAGAATTAAATAAATTATTATTAAAATAATATTTTTACTTGATTAATAATTAAAATATTTTTATTCATTATTTAATGATATTTTTATTAATAAATAAAATTATTTTTATTTATTGAATAAATAAATAATTGAATGAAAATACGAATTGTTGATATATAGATTTTGGTTGAAGAAGAAAATGAAAAATATTCTTTAAAGATTCACTTTTCACACCTAAGTGTCAAGATTTGCGACGCAAATGCATTGTCAGTATAAACTTCAGAAAGACCTATCGCGTGTTATCCTACTTTAACGTCCCTGACAATGCGGAAGCTTTATCCTCCATCCACCACGTGGGAATCGACGATTCAAATCAAATATTTGCCATACGTGTTTACATACAGGATCATTTTAAATTCCCTGAATTTTAACTCGGAACTTCTTTTTCTCACTGGCAATCTTTCAAACATGGCTTTTTAATCATTATTAAAAGTGAAAAAAAAATCATTTGTTTTTGGTGATTTTTTGTTTTTTGAAAATGATTGACAAAATTTAAAGAGACGTAGTAAAGTGACAAAATTTTTTTCAAAATTGTAAATTTTTCTTTTTCCCTATGAAAGAAAAATAAGGCGTAATTTTTTTTTTTTGGGTAAAAATTTGAATTGATTTAAATTTTCTAATTAGGAATTTTTTGAGACTATAAATGGAGATAAATAGGAAAAGAAAAATTGAGATTTATTTTAGTTTCACTAACCTTATTTGAAGCCCTACAAAAGACAGCATACAAACGAATAACTTTCACCGTAAGCCCCCCCCTTTTTTTTGGTAATAAAAAAGAAGAAACGTGCGACGTACTTGTTGTTAAAACGGAAAAATAATTTTTCTAAAAATTAACACTTGTTTTCGAAAAAAAAAACGGTTTGATATTGAATCTACGGAAGCTCCGAGTGAAAAGCTTTGAAACGTATAATCGGCTTGACTTTTGATGTGTTTAAAAGACCGTATATAAGCGGGGGATCCTCGCGATGAAAAGGTCAAGCACAGTGTGATGGAAACCAAACTGATGGAAGGCCTTTACCCAAAGCCAAATGACTAGAAAGGAGGTGGTCCACACTTGGTGGGGATTCACTCTCATGTATATATGCTATATACAACTATGTGTGTAATGCTAATCGTCAAGCATTCCCTTTGACAGTTGTTTTGTTTAGATATATATCCTCTTATCGAAATCATGACCATTCTATTTATATGGATGTAATTGCTACAGAGGAGAGATGACTGTAGGTTGTCAAAGGCTGTGGACTGTAATTAAAGGTCTAGACACGTTCTAAAGTTCCTTGGATTATCACTGTATCAGGTTAGATGGGAATTTGTCGTATGTGATGCGTTTGAAGACAAAAAGATTCTTTTTTAGAAATCGTGTTTTTTTTTCTTGTCTTTTGAATTTTCAAGTTGGGTTATTGCAGTGAAGCTTTGGTAAAAAATCGCTGGTTACTCTCTCTCTCTAAATTCGAATTAGTAAAAATGTTTACTAATTTGAATTAATTAATTAATTAATTAATTACTTAATTAATTATTGACTGACTTTTTGCTTTTGAATTAGTAAATTTTTTAACTAATAAATTAGTAGAAATTACTATCCCAACAAAAACATCTTTGATGCAAAAAATTCCGCCAAGTAAAAGTTTTTGTAATTGTCCAAACAATTACTGAAATAAAAATTTACCAAGTAAAATTTATAACTAAAGTTTTTATATTAATTTATTATAATTTTACTAATTAGATTTACGAGTTAAGTCAACGTTTCACTTTATATTTTGGATTGTAACAAATAATATGAAATTTAATTTCATGTTTAACATGAGCAAAAACTAAAATCAAACTATTCGTCTTTATAAAGAATTTTTATTTAAGGCAATTTTAAAATCTCGGCGGCAATAGTTTTTCTAACTTACAATTGATGAAAATATTGACGCCAAGAATTTAAAATTGTCTTAAATAGAAATTTTTTATTAAGACGAATAATTAGATTTAATTTTTTGCTTATGTTAAATATGAAATTAAATTTCATATTATTTGTCACAATCCAAAATATAACGTGAAACATTGACTTAATTAGTAAATCTAATTAGTAAAATTAATAAAATAAATTAATATAAAAACTTTGGTTATAAATTTTACTTGGTAAACTTTTATTTCAGTAATTGTTTGGACAATTACAAAAACTTTTACTTGGCGGAATTTTTAGCATCAAAAATGTTTTTGTTGGGATTTTAAAACTTTTTGCGACATTTCAAATTTTTAAAAAATGCATGAATGATAATATTAAAAGGGAAAGTGTTTAGAAATTTATCTTCTATTTCAATGTTTTTGAGAAAATTTAAAATATTTCAAAAAATACGAAATGTATTAAAATTTTCTGAAAATCCGTTAAGTAGTTTATAGTATCTACGTTTGTCTAAATTTTAAAAAATCCAAATGTTTTAAAAAATACGAAATGTATTAAAATTTCCTGAAATATTATATCGAGATTTTAAACCAATTAATAATATTCTAGAATATTTTACAAATACGTTTAGAAGTTTAGTCTCTAGGTTTGTCTAAATCTCGAACTTTTGTTCGGAAATCACGATTTTTTGGAAAAAAAAATATTTCCAGGTTCACTTGGGTTTATTTTCTAATTGCAAGATATTTCCTGATACAAAGAATTTCCATTCTTTGTATCAAGAAATATTTCCTTTTCCGTGGAATAAATTTAACTTTTCTTCGGAAATCACGATTTTCAGGAAACAATTTGAAAATATTTTCAGTAGGATTTGGATTTATTTAAATTTCATTAAAAATCCCATTGTATTAGGAAATTTTTTCATTTTTTATGGAACAAAATTTAACATTTGGATAGGAAATAATGATTTTCTCAAAATATTCTAAAATATTTTCAGTAGGATTTATTTGGATTAATTTCCAGAATTTTTATTAAAAATCCATTGCATTAGGAAATTGTTTAAATTATATAGAACAAATTCCAATTTAATTTGGAAAAGATGGTTTTTCTGAAAATGAATCCTTTCTTTACCTTTTTTTCGAAAAATAAAAAAAAATTTATTCCTTATGAATTTTTTAAATAAATATTGAAATTTTCGAAAAATAAAAATTTGAACTACTCTCGTAATTTTCAGTAATTTTCACCGCCGCTTTTTTTATACACTTATTTCATGATTCTGAACAATTAATCGTATGGATTTTCTAAAATTTTAATTTTTTCAAAAAATTTGATTTTTTGAAAAATAAAAAAAAATTGTAAATTAATTAAAGATTACTTTTATTAATTTTCTATAGTGTAATATAATTTCAGGTATTGAAAAAATGTAAAAAAAAAAAAAATTTGATACCCCCAAAAAATGATTATTTTTAATTGGCTCAAATTTAACTCGTAATACTTACAAAATTCAACTACTTCAAAATTTTTTATTATTTTGCGTTGCCGATTTTTTTTATAGGCTTTTTTGCGATTCTGAACAATCAATCGTATAGATTTTGAAAAATTTTAATTTTTTCAAAAAATAAAATTTCGAAAATGGTCAACAAATTTTTGTTTTGAATTTTAATAATGTATAATAAATTTAGATCCTAAATAACACCAGAAAGAAAAATTGTTGTGAAATATTATTTGGAAACACATTTTTTTGATGTTAAAAGTTATTTACTGAAAGTTGTGGAAAATTAATTTTTTGTAATGAAAATTATTTTTTAACTGAAAAAAATTTATTTTGAAATTAAGAAAATATACTTTTTAGCACCAGTTTTGGAATATGTATTAAATACGAAAAATATATTCTTGTATTAAGAATAGTATTTTTTCTAATTTTAGATATAAAATCTATAATAAGTGCTATAAGTATATTCTTGATTTCGAAATAAATTTTTCATAATTTTTTCGGTGATTAAAAGAAATTAAAAAAATGTTTTTTTCTAAATTATGTTTTATTTATTCTATATTATATTATTTTTTATTATTTACATAATATATTTTATGTTACATTATAATTATATTTTTCATTTCGCACTTTTTTTCTCGATTATTTTTCTTTTTTCCGTTTTCTTTTCTTTTTTGTAAAAGTGTTTGTGTCACTTTTATAAAACTTAGGTAATAGTTTGGTGGGTTTTTCATTTTCTTTGAACTTTTTCTTTTCTTTTTCCGCTTATATAAGACGAGTATTAAAATGATAATTTAAGTTATTTTTCCATTTTCTTATATATATACTTCCTTACTCGATTAAATTATTCGCAAATAGATTTTCTATTATTGAAGAAAGCTTATTATTTTTTTTCACAATTAATTTAATTTTTTTTTTTTTATTTATGTATTCTCTACTTTACCATTGAAGTATTTTTTTTCTCCATTAATGTTCTTTGATATCCGTTTCTTTCTTCTAATTATACTTTTCTGTCATCTTTGAAATAAATGAACATTTCGAAAATAAATTGTTTAGTTATGAAGCTTTATTAAAGAATTCGTAACAATTTATAAGCAGCAACAGTAAATTATAGTTGTCAATGAATTCTTTATAAAAGTTTTCTTTTCCAAATTAAGTCATTTTCATGTAATGAATATTTATTTATTTAAACAATGTATATGCTTATAAATATTAACTGCCCTCTTCGTGGCCTTTAAAAATATTCTTTTGAAAATTAAAATTATTTTTAAATTAGTAAAATAATAATAATAATAAAAAAAAATAATAATATTATAATAAAATTAATAATATAAAATCTGAAGTAAAAAATCTTAATAAAAATGTAATATTTTTATTAGTTACTAAAGAAAACAAAAAAAGGTTTCATTTATTATTTATTTAAATAATAAACTGTTTAGTTTTAAAAATAAATAATTATTGTATAAAATAATGAAAAGGAAAATACTTACCTTATCAGTGTTTATATAATAATTATTATTCCTCTTGAAATGACTTTAGTAATCTGCATTCAATCGATTAAATTTGGTCACGTAAGAGTACCAATTTCCGTTACCAATTTTTTTTTCTCCTTTCTTTATTTGTGGTTGTACCTTAATTCCTTCCTTCGCTTGCTATCTTGCAGGGTCAATGTACGAAATAAGGAAAGTTTCGAACCCGAATCTTCTTTTCTCAAGATCAAAAAAAAAAAAAAAAAAAAAAAAAAGGTGGCATTTTTGAGTGCATTTCTTCCACTTATAAGAAAAAAATAAAAAAATGTTGGGAACTTTTGGTGGTTCATTCGCAATATAGATTGGGGAATACCCTTTAAAAAGAAAAAAAAATTAGTATTTTCTCCGAAATTCACTCATGTCAGAAGAATTTTTTTTTGAACGATTTAAATACGATTAACGACGCTCGTTAAATTTTTGATAATTTATTTATAAAAGAAATTTTATTAACAAAAAGATTTTAAACAATATTTAACTTGATATTTTGAATAGTTTATAAATAAAAAAAATATTAAAAAGAATAAATTAAATAAATTAATTTAAAAATAATAAAATTAATAAATTTAATAAATTTAATAAATTTAATAAATTTAATTTCAAATAATAAAATTTATTTATTTCTTTACTGTTTATTTATTATAAAATAAAATATGAATAAATAGAAAAAATACAAATTTGTTTAATATTTAAATTATTATTTTTATTCCTATTATTATTATTATTATTATTATTATTTTTATTATTATTATTAGCTATTATTATCATTACTATTACTATATTGGTATCCCCTCTAATTACATTTATTTATTTATTTACAAAACCAGTTCCCCGACTCCTTTATTTCTTTTTTAATAAATAAAATAAAAAATTTACGGAAAAAATTTATATATTATTAAAATTATTATATTAAATATTTTATATATTAAAAATAATAATTATTATTACCTTTTGTTATTAAGTAGTTAATTTATTATTGGGGAAAATCTAATAAAGCGAAACAGTTTTGTAGTTAAATTTCAAATCTTTATTTTTGTATCGCTAGCTTTTAAAATTTACAAGGCAACGTAGGAAGTTTTTGAAGACATGTATTTGTACGAAAGGTGTTAGATATTATAGGTACTTACAATATTATATACAATTTTATATAATTATGCATAACATATTATGTAGCGTAATTTACAAAAATAATAATATATCACCCATGAATTTATATTTCGAATTATTTCTTTTTGAAATATCTTTCCGAAATAGTGTAAAAAATATTTTACAAAAAAGAATAAAAAAATCGAAACTATTATAAAAATAACTAATCAAATTTTCTCTTTATCGATTTGCAAAATTTATTGATAATTTTGCTGGAAAAAAATACTGAAAATTGTTTTTTCAAAAAAAAATTCAAAGTTCGTGTATTTTTTTACAATTATTATAATTTTAAATTGTATAAAATCATTTATACGTCTATTCCTTTTCTTTTTATTAATATTATGCAAAATGATATAATTATATAAAAAATTTGGAATAATTTTTTGTTGTTGTTGGTTTAACAAAAAAGTAATAACACACATACTTATAATACTCATTCAGAAATGATATTTTAACCCCTTCTTGTTACAAGAGTGGATTTTAATTTAACATGTCAGACAATGATCGATTGCTTCAATACATTTTGATCAATGCTTCTACATTTTGTTGAAGCTTACACGTTTTCAAAAATACTCTTTTAAAAGCAATATATGAGAAAGAAAAAGGTCAAATAGCTCTTAAGAGTAAACAATATATATGTATAAAAAAATTATTGCAAACATATTAACATATTACTAAATATTATTCAAGATTCATTGATTATGGAAATATTATATCGACGATAGATGTGATGAATGTTGAGAAAAAAATTGATTAAAGGTCCTTAATAATTGACCAACAAAATAATGAGATTTTTTAACATTAATATTTTATCAAGAAAAAAAAAATACCTACAAAATTTTTACCTGAAACAAGTACAAATTTTATAATATTTTCGAAATTTTTAGTTGTTTCAATTAATAATTTCGGGTATTTTAGAGAAAAACTTATCGTCGTTTCAAGTGAAGATTTTTTTTTCGTGTAAATGAAAAAATTAATATTTTCAAAAAAATAGTTTAAAATTTTTAATATTTACTATTTTTTTAATTATTTGTACAATTTTTTAATGATAAAAATTTCCTTAAGTTTTAAAAAATTGCCACTTTCAAAAGTTGTCAATGTTCATAATAAAAAATTTTTTTTGCATCATTAAGACAAAAGTTTTAATTTCTGATGCAAAAATAATTTTTTCTCCATTCAAGAAAACGTAATTCAAAATTTATGAGAAAGAAAAAGTGACAATAAATTAAACATGAAAATAAATATTATATAAATTAGAATATTGAAAAAATTAAAAGAAAATTAAAAAAAAAGAAATAAATCTTTGCAAAAATCTTCCGCTCTTTTTAAAATATACAATTTTTTTTGTAGTTTTTGAGTAAAGAAAGAGAAATCGAAGAAAAAAAATTTAAAGAGAAATCCGGTTTTAACAATTGTCAGTTATGATCACGGTTATTGGTATATATGTAATCTGTTGAGCACACACACACATTATTTATTACCATGAACATTTGCAAATGACTTTCTACGTGTCATCAGTCATGTAATTGTGAAGTTCATCGTCTTCCATTTAATTTTAAAGCATTGTTTTTCGATTATTAGTTAGAAAAATCGCTTTTTTTTAATATTTAAAAAATTATTTTAAATTTTCAGAAAAAAATTTTAGTTAATCAAAATAAATATTAATTAAAATAAAGTTTAATTAATTAATTATTTTAAATAAACATAAATTTACTAAAATGAACGTTAATTAATTAAAATAAACATTAATTAACTGAATTGAACGTTAATTGATTAAAATAGTCTTTAATTAATTATTATTTCTACGATAAGATTTAAATATTCTTCTTTTTGATTTTCGAGGGAATTAATTTAAAAAAAATTATTACAAACAAATTACTTGAAAGGAAAAAAATTCGAGTACTTATACAAATAATTTTGCAAAAATATGAAAGTTCTGTTTATTTTTTGTCACTTTCTACAAATTAGCAAAGAATTAAGGACTCTTTAGTTATAATAAGTAATAAATAATAATTTCAATAAATTTTCAAAAAGTAATTTTTAACTTTTTAAAACTTTTTAAAAATAACTAATGTTATTTTTTTAAAGTCACGAATTTTTCGTAATTAAATTCACTGGTATTTCGTAACTATTTTCAATATTACAAAAATAGTATGTAATTTTTTTCATTAAGAACATAACAAAAAAAAGGGGGAAAAAGATTGAAAAATAATGAAAAATAATGAAAAATTAAAAATAAGTTTCTATTTGCTTATAAATGAAAAATTTCTATCAGTAAAATTAAAGATAACTTATATACCTTAAAATTAAAATTCAAAGTTTTTAATTAAAATTTATCATATCTATCGTCGATTTTTATTTCCAAATTGAAAGTAAAAAAAAATAGTAAAAAATTAAATATTTATAAAAAAAAATATAAATATAAAAAATAAAGTAAAAAAATTAAAATTTTATAATCTATCATAAATTTCTATTGGCATCCTGTTTTTTTTTTAATTGAGCACTTCACTAAAATGTGAAGAACACTGGAAATTTTTTTAATGCTTTTTTTATAATCTAAAAATTATTTACCGTTTTTATAGACATGTATATAAATTTATACACATTACTCTCTTTTATTTAAAGGATGACTGTAACATTAACAGAGACCATATTTTTTTTTAAAGAGGCACGTATTTGCAATTAAAGTAATTAATATTTATGCGCCATAAATCATTCATTCATTCCATAAAAGATATTTTTTATAATTACGTAGAAAATTCAAAATTTGTTAATATATAATCTTTTTACCACAAAAGTGGATAGAGTTCAAAGTTTACAGACTCCTATTATTTAGTCAATTGTAATAAAATTCTTTTGTTACGTTTAAACTTTTTTTTTTGTTCCTAACGATTGTTAATTACGCTATTTGTTCACAACCGTTTTTTATTTATAGTTATTTTTAAAATTTAAAAATATTTCCGTATTTCTTTTTTTTTTTGTTCTTTTCACATTTTTTTCAGCGTAAAATTATTTCTTATTATTAAGAAATAATTCTTAATATTTCAAAGATTATTATTTATTATGTTATTTGAATTTCTTTTTGTAACGAAAAGAGATAATAAAAGGCAAGATGAAAGGGGATTTTTTTTTGTTATTGATTAAGTAAGTATTTTAATTACTTACGAAAAAAATTTTCTTTAAGCAGGTACATGATGAGATTGTGTAGGTTGTAAGGGTCCTCTTTTTTTTGGATTTCTCTCGAAATTTTGATTCCAGCAAGATCCGTTTAATCGATGAACATAGGGCGAATTCCAGTCGCGAAGAAATACATTTTCTAATTGTTTTCTTATACTTTTGGTATTATTCACGCCATCGTCCTCGAAAACTGCACTCACCCCTGAAAAAATAATTAAATTAAATTATTAAAAAATAGAATATTCTTTCCGAATATTTAAAGATTAATTAAATTAATATTATATTATTAATTAGGATTATAATATATATGTAAATGTTTTTTGGTTGATTTAAATGTAGTATATAATTAAGATTATTAAACTATTATTTAATAACTGTCTTTAAATATTCGTTAATAAAATTATTGGCACGAATAATGAGATTAATATTATTATTACAATTAATTATGTTAATTATATAATTATATTACTTAGTAAATAAAAATTGTTGAAATAATATTTACCAGCAGTGGTAACGAAATAGTCGCCTGACCAATTACTGGTACCAATATAGGCAGCAGTATCCGTAACCATATATTTATTATGATTAACTCTTGTAAAAGGTATTTTATCAAATTCGGGGGTTGACGGAACAATAAAACGCCTCTGAAAAATAAAATCGAAATTTTACATTTAATTGACTTTGAAAATTAAGTTTTAGTTCAATTTATTTTTCACACACAATTAAACCTTGGGACATTTTTCTAAATTTTTAATTTAGAAATTTTAAGTAAAATTTATTCACCAAAGAATTAATTTATAAATTAATTAATTAATTCTAAATTAGTTCTTAATTAATTTATAAATTAATTAATTAATTAATTTATAAATAAATTAATTAATTAATTCTAAATTAGTTCGTAATAAATTAATTAGTTTGTACTTAAAATTATGTCACCTAACCAAGTTTTATTGTATGTAATTATAAATTTTTGTTTCCATAAATTTTCAATAAAATTAAAATTATATTAGATTAAATTAAATTAAATTAAATTAAATTAAATTAAAATTAAAATTAAAATTACTAACAACTTCAATTTTCACATTCTTGTACGAATTTGTCAAATCTTCTAGTGATTTTAAGAAATGATCTTCACTCATTCGCGAATGTTTCCACCATGAAATTAAGAGTCGAACGTTTATTTTTCCCTCGATTGCAGCAACTTTAAGGGCATTATCAATGATCGGCCAAAATCTGTAAAATTAAGGAACAAATCAATTCGTGACAGTTTTTTTTCCGAATTTTTTCTTTTTTAAATAATTTTATTTTAATATACACTGAAAAAAATTTGATTCGAAAAATTTAAAAAATCAAATTCAAAAAATTCTTTGATTCGAAAAACCAATTACTTGTCTATTATCAAATAAATATTTACTTAAATTAAATAATTTTTAATTAAGTCAAATAAATAAAATAAATTAATAAATAATAATAAATCAAATAAATTAAATTGTTCAATTCATATTTGCTTCCAATACTGAAATTATTGTTTCAAATACAATTTATTTGACTTCATTAAAAATTATTTAATTCAAGTAAATATTTATTTGATAATAGTCAAGTAATCGATTATTTGAATCAAGTAAATTTTTTTTCAGTGTAGTTGTATTTATTTTAATTAAATTCAAAAATTTTTATTGCAATGAAATTTCGTTACTTACCGGGCTTTCGGAGTGTAAAGCATCATTGGTATATAATCCATAACGGAAATGTAAATAAATTTCTCCGCTTTTTCTATGCAATGTAAAATAGCGTCAATATCGTCCGTTCGTCCCGGCGGTGATAATTTAGGGGGTGAACTCTGAAATTAAAAAAAAAGTTTACGTGAAATTTTATTATTAAATGGCAAAATATATTTTTAATTTAATATTTATTAAATTTATTTTATAGAGTTTATTTTCAGACTCTATATTGCTGCAAATAAATAAATAATATAGTTTAAATATAAATAATTAAAAATATTTTTTTTCGTTCATTTAATACATAAAGTTAAATTATACTTTTTTGGTTTTATTTTGAAAAATACAATTAATTATTTTATTCTTATTTAAAAGAAAACTAACTGTTAATAGTTAATTAATTATTAAACATTAATATTAATTAATTAATTAATTAATTAATTAATTAATTAATTAGGAAGTAATTGATAAATAATTGTTACTCACTGACAAAAATGTTCGATACTGAACGCCATCAACAGTCATGGACATTGGATTTTTGACATTAACTTTTGTAGTAACATTTGCTGGCCAACTTGGCGGCACTTGATTCTTTTCTCCAACCAACCAATAAACCTAGAAAAAATAAATAATTCACGTGAAAATTTTTTTTACAGAAAATTTCGTGAAAATTAATTTCAAATGTAATTTAAAAAAAATAAATTGAAAAATGAACATTTAGAGAATTTAAGAAATATATTAAATTAGTTTAAATATTAATTTTTGCTCTCTTGAACTTAAATTAAAAGTAGGTAATAGATTAAGAATTAATGAAAATAACTTTGAGAGTCAGTTTGAAAAAGAAAATGAAATTAGTTTAAAATTTTAACTCTAAAAATGAATTAAAGTTTTGTATTAAACATAATTTAAAAAATTAATTTCTATATTAAAATTGTATAAATTGAAATGTTTGAATTTAATTTTTTTCTTTTTAAAGTTGAATTAATTAAAAGGGGAATGAAGAATTAATCAAGTTTGAAAAAATGGAGATTAAGTTTTTTGTGAAAAATTAATGAAATTATATTAAAAATTTAAAGAGTCTCTTACATCGAAAACTTTAGCTATATCTTCGGCTAGGCATGAACAGTTCATAGCGACAAAACCAAGTTCTTTAACTTGAGTTAAAGCTCGCCAATCCATATTCGCTGAACCAATATACACGTGTTTCCTATCTATAATCCAAAGTTTCGTATGGAGAATTCCACCGCCAATAAGGGCTGGAAAGTTTAAACTTCTCACTTGTGCATTAGCCTTTTTACTCAAGAACTCGGTATCAGTGTTTGGATTAGCTTGCGTGGGTACGTTTTGTGCAATTTTCAGTGTCACTCTTCGATCCCTTCCGGCTTCCAATAGCGCTTGAAATACGTCCTCGCCCTGAACAAAAGAAATTGGCAAATGCCAGTTTAAAAGGGGGTTGTGTGTGTGTGTGTGTATGTGTGTGGGAGGGAGGAATGAAGTTGAAATTCCACAACATATATTTATATGTTTGTACATTTATTTTGCATTTCTTCAGAGATTGACAATTTTTTTTTTTCATTATTTTTTCGTCCTTTTTTCATTCCTTGTTTTTATTTTTTCTTTCATTATTTATTTTTTTTCTTTATTAATTATTATTATTTTTTATTTATAATAATAAATAAAAAATAATAATAATTAATAAACAGGGTTGCTACAGAAGTCTGTTTTTAAATTTTCATGACTTTTCCAGGTTTTCAGTACCAAATGTGATAAATTTTCAGGTCACCTTTTTAAGTTATAAAAATATTCACGTTAGATTATCTCTGTTTCTTTATTGAACCATATAACAACGATAATAATTATTAAAAAAAGAATATTTTTAATATTTCGATGATTTTTAAGATGTAAAATTTTTTTAAATCTCAGACCTTTTTTAAAAATCCCTGACTTTTCCAGGTTTTCCAGATTTTCCAGGTTCTGTAGCAACTCTGAATAAAGAGAAAAAATAAATAAATAGAGAGAAAAAAAAAATATTTTTTATTTATTTTTCTCTTTATTCATTACACAGCCACACAAAAAAAAAAAAGTTCTGATCTGGGGGTCTCACTATGTAGACTTTATGTTTTTTGGGTCGCTGAATCCGAATCCGAGGTCCATTTAACCCCATCAGATCAGGATTTTGACATAACCTCAAAAAACCAATATGGCGGACACATTTTTGAAAAGTTCATCGGATTCGCTTGAAATTCGTTACTCGGGGGTTTTTGGGGTCGCTGATTACGAATTTGAAGTCTGATTTCAAAAATTCAAAATGGCGGATCCAATATGGCGGACAAGTTTTTGAAAAATTCATCGGATTCGCTTGAAATTCGTTACTCTGGGGTTTTTGGGGTCGCTGATTACGAAATTGATGTCGGTTTTTCAAAATTTTGAATTTGAAAAAATTTTGAAAAAAAAAAAAAATTTGAATTTTGAAAAACCGACATCATTTTCGTAATCAGCGACCCCAAAAACCCCAGAGTAACGAATTTCAAGCGAATCCGATGAATTTTTCAAAAACTTGTCCGCCATATTGGATCCGCCATTTTGAATTTTTGAAATCAGACTTCAAATTCGTAATCAGCGACCCCAAAAACCCCCGAGTAACGAATTTCAAGCGAATCCGATGAACTTTTCAAAAATGTGTCCGCCATATTGGTTTTTTGAGGTTATGTCAAAATCCTGATCTGATGGGGTTAAATGGACCTCGGATTCGGATTCAGCGACCCAAAAAACATAAAGTCTACATAGTGAGACCCCCAGATCAGAACTTTTTTTTTTTTTTGTGTGGCTGTGTTATTTATTACAGGCTTCGCACTCCTCTACTAAAACCTACAATAGTACAATTTTTTTAAATATTCTACTATTTGGATACTTTTTTTTAGATTTCAGCCACTAAAAGCTACTATTTCTGTTTTTTTTTTAGAATTGCAACTACTTTAAATACGTTAATTCTAGAAATCAAAAAACTATTCTCAAAAATTAAAATTAAATTCTTTAAAACGATTTAATTATTTTCATAAATAATAAAATTCCCACAAGAATTTAATTAATTTAGAATAGCATTTACAAATTAATTTCGAGAAAATAAATTATTCAATGTTTAAAAAAAATTTTGATAAAATTCTAAGAAAGAATTCAATTATTTCCATAAATAATAAAACTCATCGACGAATTTCAATTATTTTTAATACTATTTTAAATGAATTAATCGAAAAATTCAATTATTTTCACAAATAAAATTTTCCAAAAGAATTCAATTATTTAAAATAAAATTTTCATAATATTTATTATATTACGAAAAAATTAATTATTTAAAACAATGTTTATAAAATTCTTATGAAGAATTCAATTATTTTCAAAAATAACAAAATTTTTCAAAGGAATTCAATTCTTTCGAAATATTTTATTAAAATTTTTCGCAATAATTCAATTATTTTCATAAATAATAAAATTCTTTTCAGGAATTCAATTATTTTTGAAAATTTTAATCAAATTTTTAGGAACTATTCAATTATTTACATAAATAATAAAATTCATCGCAGGATTTTAAATATTTTTAATACAATTTAACAGGAATTATTGCTAAAAAAAAGTAATTATTCTTAAAAATTTAATTTCAATTTCTCGAAAAAATCAATTATTTAAACAATTGTTTTTTTTTAAATTCTTTGGAAGAATTTAATTATTTACAAAAATATTAGAATTTTACCCAGGAATTCAGTTATTTTCAAATATTTTAATAAAATTTTTCAAATGAAATCAATTATTTTAAATTCAATTTTAATTAGATTTTTTTGGAATAATTCAATTATTCTTTTAGATTTTAATAAAATTCTTCCCAAGAATTCAATTATTTACATATAAATAATTCTTTGAAAGAATTTGATTAAATCGATAAATAAGAAAATTATTCCCGAAAATTCAACTATTTAGAGGCATTTTAATAAAATTCTTTGCAACATTCAATTATTTTCATAAAGAACAATATTCTTCACAAGAATTCAATTGTTTTTAAAAATAATAAATTTCTTCTTGGAAATTTAATTATTTTAAAAAATTCCAATGAAATCCTTCGCAAGAATTCAATTATTTTCATAAATAATAAAATGCTTTTTAGGAATTCAATTATTTAATAAATTTTTTATAAACATCTTCGTAAGAATTTAATTTTTTTCATGAATAATAATAATCTCAGGAATTCAATTATTTATATTAGAATTTGCATAAAATTAGTCGAAAGAAATCAATTATTTAAAAATTTTTATAAAATTCTTCGCAAGAATTAAATTATTTTTATAAATATTTAAATTCTTTCATGAATAATAAAATTCGTTGGAGGAATTCAATTTATTAGCATCAGGATAAGAAAGAAGTAAATATTTTTTATGAAAATTAGGAAAAAGTTAGGAAAATAAAAAATATATGGAATTTTTGTCAGTTTTGTGAAGTTTCTAAACCGAGTTTTTTTGGTCATCAAGTTTAATTTTTCGACAGCTACTTTTTTTAATTTGAAAGCTACTTTTTTAAAATTAATTATCGAGTGCGAAGTCTGTTATTATTCTTTATTAATTTTTCTTCTTTTTTATTTTCTTCTATCTTTATTTTTTCCCTCTAGTTTTTTCTAACTTTATTTTTTCGATCTTTATTGTTTTCTTCTTTTTTATTATTTTCTCTCTTTATTTTTTTGTAACATTATTTTTCTCTAAGTTTATATTTTCAATCTTTATTTTTTTCTAACTTTTTTTCTATCTTTATTTTTTTTTCCTTTACTTTTGTCTACCTTTTTTTTCTTTATTTATTTTTTTCGTCGCCAAATTTTATTGATAATAGTAATATAGAGTTATTAAAAATTAAAGAAATTTGAAAAATTAAAAATTATTTCCCTAAAATTTTCAACAATTATGTGAATGGAATTTTTTTTCTGTGTATTTATTTTTCAAAAAAATTGACAATCGAAAACCTTTAATTTTAAATGTTCGAAAATTTCTGATTTAATAATCGTTTTAATGTAAAATTTCCTTTAGTTATTGTTTGGCATTAGTTTGTCGATTGTCACTTACTTCTTTGGCGCTGTCGTGAGGATAAACGTCTCCTCGTTTCATTGTCCAATAATAGGAGCCTATTTCAATTGTACTTTGAGCGGACTCTATTAGATCCTTCCATGTCTGATAAGTACTTTGGTGGATTAGGGAATTATTCGGGTAGATGAGACCGATTGGAATTGACTCTGTTAGGGATAAACTGCAACTATCCATGCAAGATAATTTTGAATTATTTTCAATTCTTGTTGAATTTAATGCTTGCTTATCGGCTGCGTCGAGTAGCGGTAATAATACAACCAAAACAATTAATATCAAAATTACAGTGATTGGTATGCAACTTGGTTTACACCAACTCTGCGCCCCCCATCTACAAAAAGAAATTCACATTTTTTTTATTTTTTATTTTTAAATTCAGAAAAAATAAATTATTTCTTGTGTTATGAGAATTTAACAAAAATATCAATAATCAAATTCTTTACTATTTGTTTATAAATTAATACTTTTTTTGGGGGGAAAATATTAATTTATAATAATTATTCTTTGTTAAGCATTGCAAAACAATTGATTAGTAATAATTATTATTATTGGTTTCGTTACCTACTATTTGTTAAATATTAATAAATATTTTTTAGCAGAAAATATTAATTTGTAATAATTATGATTTGATAAATATTGCAAAACAATTGGTAATATTTATTGTCCTGTTATTTTGTTTGGATTTATAATTTTAACAGAAAATAATTTTATGTATATGAAAATTCATATAAATATTTAGTATATAAATTAAATTATTAGTCAATATTTAATAATTTAGTAAAAATAAATTATTAGTTTGAAAGAACAATAAATAAATTACGTTAAAATATATTTTTCACTCGAAGAAAATTTATTTGAATCAATGATTGATTACTTGACAATGATTTACTTAAAGTAAAATTACTTCTTACAAGTAAATATTTATTGAACAATTTATTCCAATAAATATTTACTTGTGAGGAATAATTTTTCGTTTAGAAAAAATGATTGCAGTAGAATTTAATTAAAAACATTAAAATTAAGTAATTTAAATAAATCGAAATGAATTTTATTCGAAGCAAATAAATTCTAAAGTTTAAAGCGTAATTGCTTTAAATACAGAATTTACTGGTTCGAATTTAATTTTATTTAAATTGAATTAAATGAATTAAATTCGAACCAGTAAATTCAGTATTTAACGCAATTAATAAATAAATAATTTACGTTATTTAAAAAAACGTTGATAAAAAAATACACATTTTTATTAAATAAATATTCAGTATAATATATATTGTATTAAATTATCAAAACATGAAACATTTTATTTCATTATTATATTATTAATACAATTAATATTAATTAATTAATATTAATAAAATATTTATTGTTTCATTTAATTTTTAAAATGTGTAAAACACAAATGAAATAAAATATTTTTTTGACACAAAGCAAGTAATTTTTTTATCTGAATCAAATAAATTTTCTTCACAGTAGTGTAAATAAGAAAACTTAGTTTCACTTTTAAGTTTCTAGTGAAGTTTTTTTATAATTATTTTTTTAAATATTTCGATTTTATAAAAATTAGATTTATTTTTTTTCTTTGAAACATTTTTTTTACACTTACTTTGAATTTGAACCATAATCATCCATATCGTTCCTTAACATAAAACCCGACTGATCCCAAAGTTCAAAATCCTCATCGATTTGAGGGGAGCTAACGCCCAGTCTGGTATTTTCAGATAACGTCTGAAACGATAGAGATCTTTAACTTTATTTATAAGTTATTTTGCGATCAATTTAAAATTGATATTAAAAAAAAAATAGGGTGAGGGGGAAATATTCTATAATCATTTCAACACTATTATATTGACAATATTCCTCTTGGGAATTTTTCATTTTTTTTCCTTAATAATTTATTCTTTTTGCGGAAAAATGAATTTTTTCTTTTGTATTTTAATTTCTTTTTTCATTTGAATTTTCAATTTATTTTTTCATGTATTTTCTAAAAATAATTTTTAATTAAATACTGAGAGTTAATAGAAAATTGAGCTTATGATAATTTTTCTAGTTAGGAAAAAATTTACTTGGAAAATTATTATGAAAATGTTTTTCCTCTGGGTATTTTTTTACTTTTACTCTAAATTACCGTGTGGAAAATTTTTATTTAAAAAAAATTCTTTTTCTATTTTTAAATTAACATTGAAGTGATATTTTTCATTAATTCTCAATTAGCAATTAGCAATTAGCAATTTGCAATTGAATAATTAATTTAATTGGTTATGTAATTTAAAATCAAAAAGTCTGGAATTGATTCTATTGTCATTTAATTATTTATTTTAACAAAAAGGGTTGTCATATATTTTATATTGATTTTTTTGTTTAAATAACTTATTGTCAGGTAAATAATTAAATATCAATTAAAAATAATTAATATTTCACTAAATTATGAATTTAAATTGTTTAATTATTTCTAGGTATTATTGTAAATTTTTATTCTATTATAAATTTATATATTATAAATTTATATATTATAAATTTATTTTGCTGTCCTTTTGTTTTATGGCAATTTTATTTTATTACAATTTATTTTTATTATAAATTTATTTGATTAAAAATTCAATATATTATAAATTATTTTATTATAAATCCACTTTATTACAATTTTATTTTATTATAGAACTACTTGATTACAAATTTATTCTATTATAAATTATTTAACTATAAATTATTTTATTAAATTAGTTTTAATTAATTTAATTTTCTTATTAATTTACTTTATTTAAAATTAATTTTATTATAAAATTGTTCGATCAGAAATTTATTTTATCATAAAGTAGAATAAATTATTTTATTAAAAATTTATTTTCTTATTAATTATTTATATTTTAAGTGATTAAAATAGAGCGAGAATATTTTATTCATTTGATAAAAGTGCAATTTATTTAACAATATTTCTCAACTTGCGTGTAGGCAAAATTTCTGCATACTTGACACTTTCTCGATGTTTATAAATTTTAAAGACAAAGAATTATGTGGAAAAGTTTTTAAATATTTCAGAGATAAATTAATAAAATTACATGAATTATTGAATGTCCGGGATTTTATCAAAAAACAAAATTAATTTCTACATTTCAAAACTAAAATTTTCTGTCAAAAATTTCGATGACAAAAAATTTGTTCTACTTGTTTTTTTTAAATAAATTAAAAATTTTTTTTTTTTGTTTTTTAGTAACAATACCTTTTAAAAGTTGTTAATTTACTGAATTAGTGAAAAAAAGAAACTTTCTGAAACTATTTTATAGGGAAAAAAAGTTGTAGGGGAAAAGTTTTAAATAAATTAAGGACTTTTATATGTCTATTTCCCAGATTCACGAATTAGACACTGTTTCACTATGTTTGTAAACAATAGAGTAAAACATTAAATACCTTTGTTCTTTTTTCCTTATTTTCACTAGCCTTCACTTTTGGTACTGTCATTCTAAATTTAATACTCCTTTCACTTTTCAAAGTATTACAAAAAACATGAGGAAAAAAAAGGAAAAATTTGTTAAATAAAAAACTTAAGAGTAGAAAATAACACTAGTCACGAATTGTCAAAATCACAGATTTTGTGGGGTTATGTTTTTTTTTGTTGTTTCAAAACGGGAACTGTCGACACGTAAACAAGCGCCATCTGAACAGGCGGAAATCAATGTAGAAATCCGACGTCTGCTACGAGCAGACGACATATTGTACTAGTTTGTGAAGGAGATTTAAAATGCATTTTGGAGTAAAATTATTCTCGTACACCAGAGAAAGTTTTATTTACTGAAAAATTAATTAGGTAAATTTAAATTTATTGTTGAGATTATTTATTGTTTCAACAGAAGTTCAACATTCAGGATTTTTGTTTGTTTTACAGCAAAAGAGGTGATAATTAATTTAAAAAGAAAATGATTTAAAAGCAGAGAAAATGAGTAGGAAAAAAAACACCTGTTGTATGTATGTGTGTGTGTGGTTGAAACAAACAAGAATGTGAATATGGCAACAACGCAAACTGGATGATAGCTACGTTTAAATGTCAGTTTTCGAGGTTGATGCATATTTGATGGTGTTTTCTACTTCATTGTGAAAGGGAGTTTGGGGTACTTTATTGATCGGTTATAATGTAACTGTTTGACACGAAACCCTTTAGGCTCAAAATGTAATTAATATTTGTACCGAGAATATATTGCACAAAATTTGTAATGATAGAATTTCTAGTGTCTGCGGACGTTTTCAATTATTTCATAACGTGAATGAATTTATATATATATTTATTAATCTTGAATGATATTCATTACTCTCTAAATTTGAATTTGTTGAAAATAACTAATTATTAAATTTTACTTTTAGGATTGGTCAAAACAAATAAAAAGTTTTTTTAAATAGTGAAATTTGACACTTTTTGTAGTTATTTACTTACTAATGATTAGTATTTTTCTACTAATAATTAGTAATTTTCTAATAATAATTAGTTATTTTCCACTAATAGTTAGTTATTTTTTACTAATTGCTGAAGCAAAAGGAAGGCCACGATTTTACTTTAATAATCTCTCTAAACTGGAGGTAGTAAAAATGTTAATTAATTCGAATAAGTAACTGAATTTTTGCTTTTAAATTAGTAAATTTGACTAATAAATAGTAATTTTTACTAATTTATTAGTAAAGTTAGTAAATAAGCAATAATTATTAGTAGAATTAGTGAATAAGTAGCAATTAAGACATATTTACTGATTTTACTGATAAATTAGTAAAAATTACTATATTTATTAGTAAAAATTACTATATTTATTAGTAAAAATTACTATCTTTATCAGTAAAAATTATTATATTTATTAGTAAAATTTACTAATTTAGTTGCAAAAAGTCAGTCACTAATTCAAATTAGTTAAAATTTTAACTAATTCAAATTTAGGGAGTTATTGTCTTATTTACTAAACATTTTTTCTTAACTAAAATTATATAACTTGCTAAAAGATCAACTAAAAAAATTATTATTTACTAATTATTTAACTAATAAATTTTGAGTAAAGAAAATACAATAAAATAGAATAAAAAAGTAGAATAAAACTTTATTATATTTACTGAAATTTTATTATTTAGTAACTAAAATTTTAGTAAAGATAATGGAACAAGAAACAAAAATAGAGTTTTATTATTTACTAAACATTTTTTCTTTACTAAAAAGTTCTTATTTACTAATGTTGTATTTAATTTAGAGATTTATTCTAAATTAGAATTAGTAAAAATGTCTACTAATTTGCATTAGTGACTAACCTTCTGCTTTTTAATTAGTGATTTTTATAAACAAATAGTAATTTGTACTAATTTACTAGTAAAATTATTACTAAAGTTTACTAATTCAAAAGGAAAATGTCAATCACTAGTTCAAATTAAAAAGAGTTTGACTAATTTTATTTGGTTCAAATAAATTTCATTGGATTTAAATAAATTTGATTTGGTTCAAATAAATTCTCTCTAAATTTGAATTAGTAAAAATGGTAACTAACTTAAATTAGTTGCTGCCTTTCTGCTTTTGAATTAGAAAGTTTTACTAATAAATTAGTAGAAATTACAGTTTGTTAGTAAAATTTATTAATTCAAAAGCAAATAGTCAGTCACTATAATTTAAATTAATAAACGTTTTTACTAATTCAAATTTAGAGTTAGAAATTTGAATTAGTTAAAAATAACTACTTATTAAATTTACTTTTATGACTGGTCAACATAACTGAAATTTTTGGTAACTAATTTAAATAGTGAAATTTGACTATTTTTGTAGTTATTTACTTCCTAATGATTAGTACTTTTCGAATAATAATTAGTAATTTTCTACTAATAATTAGTTATTTTTTTTACTAATTGCTGAAGCAAAAAAAATTATTATTTACTAATTAGTTTAGTAACTAATAAATTTTTAATGAAGAAAATACAATGGAAATAGAATAAACAAGTAAAATAAAGCTTTATTATTTACTAAATTTTTTTTATTTATTAACTAATAAAATTTTAGTAACGATAATGGAACAAGAAAGCAAATTATAGTCTTATTTTTTACTAGACATTTTTTCTTTACTAAAAAGTTCTTATTTACTAATGTTGTATTTACTCTCAAAATTTGAATTAGTAAAAATGTTTATTAATTTGCATTAGTGACTAATATTTTCCTTTGAATTAGTAAATTTTACTAACAAATAGTAATTTGTACTAATTTATTAGTAAAATCAATTACTAAAGTTTACTAATTAAAAATCAAAAAGTCAGTCACTAATTCAAATTAATAAACGTTCTTACTAATTTAAATTTATAGTTTCATTTGGTTAAAATGAAAATTAATTGTTTTAAATAAATTTTATTTGGTTGAAATCAAAATTGTATTTCTACCGAATTAAATTTTAAATTAAAGAAAGAAAATAATTTATAATTGGCAGATTCTGAGATAAATTTACTTTTAGATTTATTAATTATTATTATTTGAATTTACTTTTATTTAAGTTAAATAAATTATATTTAGATTCAATAAAATTTTTCTCAGTAACTGATTCAAACTAATTTTTTTACTAATTAATTAGTTAATAATAATTAAATATTAGTTAAATTTACTTTTATTTCATGAAAAAATTACTAAAATTTTTGGTAACTGATTCAATTAGGCAAAATTAACTTTTTTTAAGTTATTTATTTACTAATAATTACCTGTATTCTACTAATAATTAGTTATTTATTCACTAACTCTCTGAATCTGAACTAGTTAAAAATATCTTACTATTAATAAAATGTTGGTTGATCTTTTGCTTTCTGAAATAATAAAAAATAACTAATTATTAGTAAATAAATAACTACAAAAATAATTAAACTTTACTACATAAATTATATTATCAAAAATTTTAGTTATTGATACATTTATTTATTTTCAATTTAGAAAAAAAATTAGTTGTTTTCTAGTAATAATTATTTATTTTTCATTAATTATTGAAGCAAAAAGTCAGTCACTCATTCAAATTAGTAAAAATTTTAACTAATTCAAATTTAGAGAGTAATTATTTTTAACAAATTTCGATTAAGAGAATAATTAAAATTGAAATTCAAAATAAAAAGCAAAATTTGCAACGGAAATTATTTGATTATTACGAAAATTTAACATTAAAGAATGTGTCGGAAATAATAATTGAATTTATATCACTGATGGTATTTTTAAATGAGATACTCGGAGATATGAAGCATTTTTAATTTATTATTTGGTTATTTGCTATTTGAAATATGCATATATAGGAAATAGTAAATAAAAATTTTTCATAAAGAAATATTCGTTTCATTACAAATGTAATTAAATTGCTCCTATTAATCCAAAAATACGTACATATAATAATTACAAAGCTCGTTTATTATATTAAAATAAAAAAAAAATACTGTATGGAAAAAAATTGCCGTGAAATATTATTATAAATACAGACATTTTTATTTTAATTTCTCGATAGTTCACTCTTTGAATCTGAATTAGAGGAAGTCTACTAAAAAATAGTGTTTTATTGTTAGTAAAATTCTATTAATTAAGTAAACTATTAATTAATAAAATTTTACTATAATTAGGTAAAATTCTATTAATTAGTAAAATTCTACTAAAAATTAGTAGATTAATTAGTATTAAGGTCCTTGAAAAAAATACTGAAACTAAAAATTAGTAAAATTTAACTAGTTTGTAGTAAAATTATTACTTACAATTGGTATTATTCTTAAAAATATAATTATGATTATTATTTTACAAAATGAAATTTTGATAAAATTAAGACTTTTATAATTTTTTTTTCATTGTAAAAATTATTTTATTATTTTTTTTTTTTAAATCAAATTAACAAAGTTAACATTCTTATTTTGTTTAATACTTAATAAGAACATAATTTGGTTTTTATGACAATTATTCTTTTATTATTATCATAATTATTATTATTTTTGTTATTATTATTATTATTATTATTATTATTATTATTATTATTATTATTATTATTATTATTATTATTATTATTATTTTCACTATAATTAATGCTCATTAATTACGATTCTTGAATTGTATTTCACAAAGTGTGTGAGGCTTATTTTCGAAATCGAAAATGAGATATATAATATTCCTTTTGACCTGAATCCTGATATCAGCGATTCTATATTTGTCGTAAATTGTATTTGGCATAATTCTACTCATTAGATCCTATAATTTTCATTTGACCTACATTTCATTTAGCAATCATTTTCATTCGGTGAAATTCTCATTTAGAATATTATTCTCATTGTGGCGCGTATAATTCTTTTTGTTTCACGTATAATTTTTTATATATTTATCGCATATGTTTATTTTATCGCAAAATTTTTATTTTACATAATTTTCTCTTTCTATTTATAGAAAATATTTTTTATTTATAAACAGAAATTTATTTACTGAATTAAAATTATTCAAATGTATTAATATTAGATGAGAAATGAGTAATTGTTGTGACTATTATTTAGTAGATAAAAAGGTTCAGCTCTAATTTTTATTAGCATTTTAAAATATGAAATTGATCTTCACTTGCAAAATTAATTAATTAATTTGTAGTACTAAATTCGTACCTACCCTTTTTTGGCTAATTGACTAAAAATCAGTTTTCTTAAATTGAGAG